ATAGATTTGGAGAATCAGCACAAAAGTCCAAATATTGGGTAAAAGGAGAATATTGAGTCACTCACACAGTGCACAGCACATTCGGAATTGACGAAGTGACTTCCGAAATTGTGTCGTATAAAACATTGTGATTGGCTATTTCGTAACTGACGCAGTCATTTCCAATCGCTTCAAGTGGTTTTCATTGTGTGAGGTGATATCGTAAAGCACTTTGGTAAGTGTGAAAGACTTGGTAAAAAGTTGTTGATCGAACGTTTTCTATTAAACAATTCCACTATCGCAACCACTTGGGTAAAGTGGTGAGATGTTTGCGTGTGTTTTTAACAATTGACTTCATCATATGCTTTTGACAAAGTCACAAACAAACGTTCTTTGTCAAATTGAAAAATAGTCGATGGTTGGTGAAAAACTTAGTCTCAAGTTTGGTGGTCTACGTTGTATTGCTCGGCATAATTCGCTATAAACTTCCAAAATTCGCGCAGATTGAATCACGCTGGAGTTCTGATTGGTTGAATATACTAGTCCTTTCTGTAAGAGCCAATCATTCCACTCAATATTGGATTAGCCAATAGCGTCGATTCGTGACTGAATCCTTCGAAAGTTAATAATTCGCGCAAAATCGACCAACTATAAATAATATTAATAATACACCGGAGTAATATTAATAAATTCCACGCTCCAGTCGTCAACTGATATGGCGAGAAAATCGGGCAAAAAGCGCAAGGCGACACAGGATCCTGCAGCGGTGCATGCTGCAAACCAAGTGACCGAGGCAGAGGAGCTATTGAATGCAGGCTCCATTGACCAAGGTCGTGCGTTGCTGGAATCTGTCGTGGCCAAGGCTGTGGACGCGCAGGTCGTCCAAGTGGCCCAGTACTCGCTGGCCATGTTGCACTTGTGCAGTGGCAACGCATCGGCCGCGGACGACCTCCTAAGTTCCCTGGGCATGCGACACCGCCTCCACGAGTCCGTCTTCACGCCTGACTCTGGGTTGGCGACTGTCGCAGACGACGACCTCGTCGCAACGCGGCATGTTAAGGTGGTCGACACCCCCGTGTCGCCGGCGGTGTGGTCGCATGTACAATCGAAGTTCCACCACGAAAGCTCTCCGTTTTGGCCCGAGCATCGGTATGGGGCGCCAGACGTGGGGTATTTCAGCTACGCGTTCCGTGAGTGTGCGTCGGCCGCGCCTGCCAATTGTGTCGAAAGTTGGATCCAATTGCACCTCCTGCCCCACGTCCGGGCTTCATTTCCAGACAAAGCACGCGACATCGTTCATGCAGAATGGTGGGTACATTCAAGGGACCAAATATCTGGCCACCAATTGCACTACGACACGGACGAGTCCCGGCTCACGCAGACCAACCAACTGTTTTACCCCCTCGTTTCCACTGTGTGGTACCTCTCGCCGGGCATGTCGGCCGCACCGACGCTTGTCATGGATAAAATGTTTGGACAAGATGCATCGGCTGCCAAAGGGTACTTGGTCGTGCCAAAGGCCAATCGACTGGCGATGTTTGACGGTCGATTACTCCACGGCGTGGTGCCGCACTTTCAACAACAGCACGATGACGTGGTATCGTTGGCGCGAGACACACGATTGACCCTCATGGTGGGATTTTGGGACAAACACGTTGCGTCCAACCCGTTCAACACGAAACAACCCACGGCCAATATGACCTTGCCTCACAAGACTTCAACGTTGAAGTGGCCAGCGCACTTGGCCGAGAACTTGCCTCTGTCGTCTCCTGCTGCTGCCACGTCACAGCCAGGGCCAGTGGTTGCAGTCCCGGACCCGTTGTGGGTTGAAGTACCAACGACATGTGACGCTGCTTCTTCGGTGGACACGAGTGATGGTGGTCTCGTTGGAGTGGGCAAGTACTTTGTCCCAGACTTAGCAGCGCTGGACGCCGACATTGCTGGCCTTCTGGCCGAACCGACCGCCGAGGACCACGAGTGGCTGGTGGCGCATGTTGAGGCCGACGACGTCGACCACCCGCGGCTGCTCCAAACGTTGTGCATCCTCCACGCATGGATGCAGCGGGGCGGGGACTTGGCCGATTCGGCAGGGGATTTCCTCTTGGAACTGACGGCGCACTGCCCGGCTGCTGCTCGGGCCGTGCGCTGCAGCCACCTGTGGGCATCGTTGTTTGTCGATTCGTTTTTGGGGGATGCCGGCACACAAGAGTCGGTTGATACATTGGCGGCGATTGCGTGGAACGTGCTCAAAGGATCGTCGCCGACATCGAGTGATAAACCCGACTGCTTCCACACCGAGGACATGGTTGAAGCGTTGATGGCGGCGGCGGACCGGGACGACCAAGTCACGGGCATGGTCTGCGGCGCCTTGGCCTACTGCCTCGGCTTTGTGCCGAATCGCAAGTGGGTTCTCGAAGGCCTAGCCCCGGTGCTGAGAGATCTCTACGAAGATCAAGCAAACGACGATGACTTTGACGGACATGTGGACATTCGGGACTCGGAACACGCGGTGATGACTGTGTTGCGTGCGAGTTCTGGTGATCGCAAAAAACTCCTCTCCGCCCTCAAGGCTGGCCTCGGGCACTTTTACGTGGGCGACGTACGAGCCAAGTTTCAAAGTGCAAAGTGAATAGTACCAGCTAGGAATATCCATGGCCTGTGTGGGGTGTTGCAGATTGCACAAAGAGCAGCGTAAACAAGTGTAAAAGGGGTAACTGCCTTGTTATGAACAACTAATCATTTGACAGTGAAATTTACACATAACCAAGGACTTTATACTCAACAATAGAGGTAAGATATAGCTGCGTCCTTGTGTTCACAGCTACGTACTGTACATACTATCCATACGATGCATTCCAATCAAAGATGAGTAAGAATAAGTGACGTGGCAAGACTCGTTGGTTTATTCATGAGTTTGAGGGGGGCTGAGGGCCCCCCGTCTGTCGAGGAGAAATGCTGAAGTTAACGTTAGTATATCTGTCGGAACCTTGACATGACAACGCAATGCTCACATTGCTCTCAGCAATGACAACGGCAGCAATAATATTAATACTACTAGTAGTACTTTATAATTTGAATCGTCCAGCAATGTTATCACTATAAGCATATGCTACTGTACGTACTAAAGTACAGCGAGACTCAGGGGTATTTATTTACCTCTCTTGGACAACAAGGCACTTGTGGGGTGCATGGAGTTTATTATGATAGAAAACTATTCAACAATGGCTTCGACAATGCCATAGGGAGAAGGAGTCTGGGTGAACTTGGAATACCGGAGGCCAGCCTTGGCGAACAGTCCTGCGTATTGCTCCGCCGTGCGTTCTTGTCCCGTGCACAGCGACAGCATATTGAGATCCATGAAGATACTAGGCGATAAGAGGCCCCCCACAGGGGCGACGGCTTCGACGTTCGAGTTGAGGACCAATTCCATCACGAGCACTCGGGCTCCGTGGTTAGCATGTCGGGCAATGGTTTTCAATATCTGGACACTTTCTTCGTCGCTCCAGTCGTGCAAAATGTGCTTAAGCAAGTACACATCGCCTTGTGGCACGAACTCGAAAAAGCTGCCCGCCACGGCCGTGATGCGAGAACCCGTTTCGAATTGGGCTAAATTGGCCGGTGCGGTCGCGACGACTGGCGCCAGGTCGAAGAGAATCCCTCGGGCTTGAGGGGGTGCTTTGGCTAGCGCGCCAGCAAGCAGACTGCCGTGGGACCCACCCACGTCGACTATCACGGACGCATTTTCGAACGACACGGAGCCGAGGATGGGGGGTATGGCCGCCCCCGACAAGTCCGACATCGCCGACGCAAACACCTCTTGTTCCTGTGGATGTTGGCGGTAATACGACCAAATGTCTGATCCGTACGCGGCGTGGGTCGCTGCTTCGCCTGTCTTGATGGCGTTCTCAAAGTGCTGAAAGGCATGCCAATGGCCCGGGCGCGACCACGCATCCAAAACGTTGCGCAGCGAGCCAGGTACATTGGACAACAGGCATTCGCCCATTGGGGTCAACGTGAACATGGCGTCTGCTTCGTGGGGACAGGATTGGGTTACGACACCGACGTTGGCGCACGCACGAAGCACGCGGAAGAGTGCCGACGGATGCAATGCCAGCGACGACGCGATGGTCGCCGCCGTGGACGAGCCGTGAGCACCCAAGTAATCGGCGACCCCCAATGTACTAAAGGCGGACACACTGCGGAACGCTAGCACTTGGTTGAATTTGTCCAAGAGGATGGCTTGAGGAGGGGGACCAGAACACGAGGCCATGGCAACGGAAAGATCGAAATGCTGACTAAAATGTATTTAACCCCCATCGAAATCACGACCTCGCGGTGGAATGTTTTAAAAATGATAATCCCTCAATTAATCATGATTCCAACTGTCGTTACTACTGTAGTACGTCCGGATACTTTGGCCATATACATTATTTATTTCCCCATGACGTATCTATCGTTGACGGAGTATAAATTAAATACAGTTGGGGTATTGTGAGAATTCGCTATAAACTCCTGGTTTGTCTACCAGTCTAGTTCTGATTGGTTGAATATACACATTCAACCAATCAGACTTGTCCTATCTGCAAGAGCCAATCAAATTCCCTCTAAAATGGATTAGCCAATAGCGTCGAATCGTGATTCGATTCGATGCGATGGGGTCTGGAAATTCATATCGAATCCACAATAAAAATGAGATTTTTTTCATTTATCCGAGGCAGTAACCCTGGCATGGTTGTGTGAAGGATGATGCCTGCTGGGTTTTTTTTGTGTTGGTGATGTGTTTCAGTTGACAGCATGTCCAACTCGAGCCCGTTCAAGATCGTGTTGGTTGTTGGGTCATCGTCGGCTTTGGTACTGACGGCTGTGACACGTCTGTGGATCTGGATGCCGACGACGTAATGGCATTCAGGTACGACAAGTCCAGCAGCACAACCCCGTCGGAGATACTAGTTGGTCGCGGACTGGTTTTGTTTTTCCTTGCCGACGACGTGGACAATGGTCTCGTTCGTCGGGGGCGGTGCTGCTGGGAGGGCGTGATGGCGGGGGGCGTGGGCAGCATCGTTTGATCGCAGAGGAGGCACAGGTTCATGTTCATGCAGAGGTCCTCCCCCGTGGACCCTAGCCACAACCGACTTACGACATACAAACACTCGTGACACACAAACAACCGGAATGAATACCTGGATTTTTTTCTACCTTGTCGCAGAGCTGGCACGGCATGTACGACGCGTGGCGAAGGTATGCTTGGCAGACGCCGCAATGGGATGGGATGTGGAGGCTGTCGAACGTGGCGCCGTTGAAGTCGTCGTCCATCGTCGTTCGCATCGACGGAGACGAGGCAAAGGTCAAGTTGCTAGGCTGCGAATGAAACGACGGTGCCGATGTCGACATGTCGCCTTGGCATAATGCCCTTTGGCGAGAAACATGATCGGATTGATTTGACGAAGACGGGAGGTCGCGGACGTGCCTTCGAAGGGGGTCGTGGTTGTCATTGTGGTGGGAGGCCTTGTCGGCCACACGTTCATGTGTAACGTGCTGCTGATGCCGGGGTCGGTGGTCGAGACTTTTGAGCTTCAAGTACGCGTCGAGCTTGTCCAGTCCCTGGAGTCGCTTGGCCAGCGCTGCGTTCCGCGCCCACGGCGGCATGCCAAAGTTCCAATCCAAGACCACATGCACGTCGATGACGCCAGGCACGTCACTCTCGATCGCGACGTAGCCAGACAAGTGCACTGTGGACCGAACCAGGCCATGGTGTGGTTTGAAATCGGGGCACGACGGATGGCATACAGACTGCATGCACGTGGCCCAGCCGCGGCGGCCGCGCTCGTCCACAAACGCATCCATGTACTACCAGTTACGACCATGAGATGTGCACATGGCGGTGGCGTTACCTCGACCACGCACACGTCGCGAGGACGACATAAGAGCGGCGCACCAAACCGGCTCCATCGGAGACCCATGAAGCGCAGCGGCTGGTCCATCGTCCGTGGCTTGAGCACGTACAGCAGCTCTGTGTCGTCGATGTGGTTTCGATCGCAATACACACTGTCTGAGGCGTCCAATGCGTCCAAGAAGAATGCGGCGACGTCCGTGACTATCCCTGGGAGGACGAGCTGGGTGTGGTTGCGGGAGTGTTTGGTCTGGTTACGGCCAACGTGGTCCGAGGCAGTGACAGCCTCGAGGAGAGCATCAAAGGCGGCAGTGGCAGTGGACCGCAAGTGCGCTCCTTCCCCGGTTGTCCATGTCGTGTGCAGTGGGAAGTGAGGTCGGGAGCTCGAGCCTATAGGTGCCATGATGGCGAAACAAACTCGAGTGCTGCTTACTGCAAGGACATGGACACGGACAGGCGTCTTGGGTGTGGGCATGAAGAGGTGGACGATGCAGGATCTGAGAGGCAATTTTGCTCACCAACTGCGGAGTTGACTTATTTTGACGATTTCACAGTAGTAGTGTTAAAGAAAGGCAAAACTAATCTGAACCGAATATTTGACATGGTGACACATTTGATGCCCATCCCAATATCGTGCAATTTGCAATAGCCAGGTCGATTTGGACGGGCCTGCACTTTACAGGCCTTCTGTACTACATACATACAGTACACAAGGACAGTTATATTCACATCAAGCCACGAGCTAGACTATGTACTGCCAAAAGGCAACATTGCGCTGTCGAGAATCTCCACGCATTGTCGTTGACTGGGTTCTGCCCGCTACAACCTAAGGAGACAGCAAGGTACGGTTGCTCTGGTCGTTGCTACATATTATTGGACGAAACGACCCGTGACGCACCATCTAGGTGGGACACAAGTGCAATGCAACACTTTTAGCAACTTGTTGCGGGCCAACCTACCGTATTGGGTGTAGCGTTGATGTTTCGTAGCCGACCCAAACTATACGTAACGTTATACATTATATACCAATTCACATTGCGCTTCAGATTTGTTTCGATGCACGCAAAGCTCATACGTGAATCACCTTGCTGTATGTCGGTTGCTAACAGTTCATAAATCTAAAATACCGCTTGCTACATAGGTCAATGCAAGTCGCCTTGAAATCAAATGCACGGTTATGGTGGAAACGCAGCGTGGCATTGTGAGGGCTATCTATGGGGGGGTATTGCGCAGTGAAAGTTGAATGAACGGTTGACCACGCGTCAGCATCTTGGAAAAATTTCCTCGCAGACACCTTGTCCTTGTTTTAAAAGTGTCGTGATGTCGTAACGTTAACGTTACCAAGAACAGGTGTAAATTCAACATGAATTATCAGGCAAGGATTATACGTATAACTAGTTAGCGTCCAGGCTGGACGGCACCTGGCAATCAAGTGGTTGTTGTTACACAACTTGCTCATCGATTCCATGGCGGTGAACGTGACCCCTTACATTATTACGCATTATTACGCATGACGAAATGGGGTCGACTCAATGCAAACGAAAGCGCTGCCGCCCTGTTCCACCGAATGTGATGACCATAAAGGGATTCGGGTGGCTTCACATCTTGGAGGAGCAACTGTTTTCGGCACAAACGAAGTTCTGCTTCGCAGTCTGGTAGGAGTGTGTTCAGATTTGTTCGATAACGTTATCTGATACTCAGGAGTATTGTTGTGCTTATTCTAAACTCAAATGTTTTACAGAAGAATCGGCAGAAGGATTTAGCCAATCCGATCGCAGGAAACCATGACCAACGTCAAATTAGTGTGATACCAATCACCACAGGACAACTCTTAACTGTAAATACAAAATTCACATGTCAGTACAATGAATCGATCGATAGATTTGGCGATTCAGCACAAAAGTCCAAATTTTGGGTAAAAGGACAATAACGTTACTCACGTTAGTATGTACCTGTGCATGTAATTGTAAATGTGTACTTGTGCGCTGTATTGCCAATCCCCATTTAGAAACAACTTGTAGGACTTTCGCATCACCTCTTCCAGTACAACCGGTATGTGCTAACGCCCCCGGCCGATAGTACGGCGATGCATACTGTACGAGAGCCCCTGGGCAGTTTTCCATCACAAGATTCCAACTTTTACTGCAAAAATCTCACCCATATTTTGCATCAGTGATGCAAGACATGCTAAGTAATAGCAAGTCAACATGACGTCAGAACTGGATATGCATAGTCTCGAATAATTACATCAATGTTGCACCTGCGCCAAATGCAGCGCACAAGGAAGGAATGCAAATTTACTTCCTTGTGGATAATTACACATTGACGTATCAGTGCAAGGGTGAGTGCAAGTAAAGATACATACCGGAGGAGTGATCTTTTCGTATTGGACCCGAATACAGCTGTGCAGAGGGCTTTGTAGACGTTCGTTCTCTCCTTCCCACCAACAAGCAATACTCAAAGGGAAAGTCCTATATTTACTTCGACATTACAAAAAAAAATACTTGCATTACAATGCACATTCAAACCACTTGACAGGCTTGCGGTCGTCGCCCCACCACCCGTCTCCGTTCCGAAACGACGTGTCCAAGTGGTTCAGCGAAGCCTTGTAATTCGGACTTCTGGTACTGTCCCCAAACCCACTCACACCCACGCCGCACGACCAGAAGTCCACTACGCCATCGTTCTCCGTGTCATGGTTGGACAAGGACGAAACAAATTTCAACCCAGAGGCCACCGTATTCAACCCCACGGAACTGACGCCACACAACAATTTCTTGGCCGGGTGGTTGATGCGAGCTCTCTGGGCGGCAGCGTACTGATCATGCAAGGTCAAGTCGACGGTGCTTTGGTGTTTCAACTGCAGGAACGCTCGTTCGGCGGGGCATTTGCCCACGAGGTTCAAAATCCCCTTGATGGCGGCGTCGCCCCAGCCCCCAGAACTGCACTTTTGCTCGAGTAGATTCGCCGTCTTGCTGCCTTGCATGGGCGCCGACAACGAAATCCACGACACGCCCTCGGAGAAGCTGCACCGAGCGGTGGCCAGCGCGCCCCCTGCGACGAGGTTCCCCATGGAATGCGTGACCAGAATGAGGTCGCCCACTGTCGTTCCGTTGTTGTTTGTTCCGTATTGCAACGCGAACCGACAGAAATCATCCTGAATCTCTGCATCCGCCCACCCTCGCTTGACTGTCTCCATTTGCACAAACTTAGTGCTGGAGCAGCATGGGGCGTTGTCTTGAATGCTTCCCCAATACTCTGCCAACGAATCGACTGTAGGGCCGTTGGAGGATGTGCCTACACCGTGCACAAAGAGGCAAGGGCGACGGGGGCCGTTGCAGCCGCACGACGACCGACCTAGCGACGACGTTCGAGGGGTGACGAATTCGCCCCACGACATGGCCCTGGCACTGACTTTCGAAGGTGCTGCTTCCGGAAGGGCTGCCCGGACAAACGGACACTGGAGATCGGCGGACGGAGCAACAATGTCTGGGACTTGAGTTGGGTCGGAAATGTACTCGACCGTGAACGTCAAGTCGTCTCCGAGGGCATGGGTGAGCTGGTTGCCGTTCGAATTGCACAGGACAAACGTTTCGCCTGCAAACTTGAGTTCCAATAGTTGGCCGCGGTCGCAGTTCACGGCGGTGGGCACTCCGTCCCCGTCCACGACGGACGCCACCACGTGCGACCCTTCCAAGCTGCTTTGAAGGAGCTGGATGGGGGGGACTTGCGATGACGCCATGCACCCCGACCTGATAGGGGTGCCGTCGAGAGCAGACATCGACCAGTACGCACGGTTGTTGAGAAGCACGTATGTCTCTGTCACGTCGTTGCCTGGCTGGGTCAGAATGGCGTCAAAGGTCAGCGCCGACCCGGCGTCTTCTTCGAGGTCGCTCACGCGTGGGACGATGTACACGGTGGCTTGGCTATTGCCGTTGAGTTGCATGGTTGATCGAAGGGCGGTGAACGTGACCTTCAACGCCGACGCTTGTTGAATGTTGGTGACGATGCTCTTCGTGTCGGATTTGGCTTGGTGTTGAGCAAATAGGATGGCCCCCACGGTCACGCATGCAACGCCACAGATAGCCAAGACCGCGGCCACCAAACGAAACCGAGTGATCAATGGTTTGTGGTGTTGGACCGCATCAAGTTCTCGGGGGGTCGCAGGATTAGCTACAAATGGGTCGTTGGTTGTAGTGGTTGGTTGCATAATGCTTTGGCGCAGGACGACAAGTACAATGTGAGCAAAGGACAACGACTGCTCGGATTTTGTTGTGGTGTTGTATTACACAATACTATGTAGAAGTGCAGAACGAACGATGTTGAAGTGGATAAAAATCTGTAAGGTTTTCGTTCATTCTTGGGCCTGTACAATGTGCTTCAACATGTGGTGTACTGTAGACGATACAAAAATGGCGATAAGCCAATCACATAGCGTGTTCGACTGGTGGACGACTCTACGGCAGAAAGCAACTCACATGCACTGTCAATGCATACTACTAGTACCATTGACTGCTACAGCTTAGATTGCGTTTATAAACTAATAACCACAGTATGCACAACCTCCTTCAATGCGCGGAACTATACAGTCGATACAGTAGGAGGCGCTGTTCACCACTCATATTAGAAATTTGTAACCTCTGGTAGAAAGCTTGATACTCTACCATCACGATATTCAGACGAATGAACTTAAAAACAAGATGTGGAATGAGTAATTACAGGTAAGGTACAATTTCATTAGTACTGTATCGTTTTCAGCATTCTGTGCAGCTTCCACCCAGTGTTACAAAATGTCCCCACTTTAAGCCGTCCAAATCACTGCCAACAGACCACTTTAAGCTGGAAAATCTTCGATTTAGATAAAACATCTTGGTTGAAGTATTGCACAGAATTCCGGATAAAAGTGAATTGTAACTTGTGACAGAAAACAGCTTGATTGAAAACTACTGTATCGGTATAACATAGTACTACTAGTACTACTAGTACTACTACGTAGTACTCCACCTATTAATAGTACCTAAAGATACATACTACAGTAGTAGTACAGTAATCGAAATTAAAAAATTGAGCACAAACTTGGATCCGAACCGTGTACCTTGCGAAAGATAATCTGACGCTAATCCCACTGAGCTAATCCCCTATAGTTCCTTGTAGGCGTTGTACACAACACTACCTTACAGAGTTTAACTTAGTATCTACTAGTACAAGCTAACACGGCTGTTTTCAATGCTTTTACCACCGCCATCGCTTCCACGGCCAACTGGCTATGGAGGCACTCTCACCACCTACCACTGGGACCCATGAGATGGTTTCCTATGACATGGAGGTAGAAATACTCGATTTGACCTTTCCGGTGACTGTAAAGGACCAATTCTTGCGCTGGCCGATATTCGTGCGCGCGACGACAGTGTAGTCACAGGAGCCGTCGTCGTAGCAGGCGAATTGGTGGATGTGCTTGGTACATCTGTGGTAGTCGTAGGAACAGCAGTCGAGGTAGCAGGCGTACTGGTCGTGGTTCCGGCAGCCACCGTGGTGCTGCTGGGAGCTGTTGTGGTGGTGCATGAGGCAGCCGTAGTAGTAGTAGGAGCGTGCTAATACCCACGATTTTGGCTCTCCAACGCTAATTCTCGCCACCTACTACCATCATCCGAGGACGTCGTCAGTTCTATTGACAGCCACCGCCCTGCGCAAACTCCGGTCACGATACCTGCACCCCCTGTCCGGTAGACCCTAGCTCGCATGTACGCAGTCAGCCCTGCGTGCAACCTCGCCCTCACAGTTCTGCAGCGTGGGCTACATCGATCAACACGCTAACACCGACGGATCTATGCGCCGCTGCTCCACGGATGCTGAAAGAGCTAAGGTGAGACGTGCTAAGGATGTGGCTGAACTCGTCCGAGCCTTGGAACACTCCAATACCCTTCAACCGATCACCTGTGATATGTATAATGGTAACGAGTTGACTGTGTCGCCCTTCTACCTGGATCACGTGTTGGCGCTAACTTGTTGCCGCATCCGTTACCCCTACTATAGCATCTGATGTGGCCATCATGGTCTCCACGGGATCCTCCATTGAAGTCATCCCAACCCACCACGGACTGCATTCTCTCAAGGTCCCGACGATTCTGAATGTTCTCATGACGTCCATCATGGGCGAGGAGCTGTGGCGCATCAAGGAAACGATGTTTAATGGTGACGAGGAAATGCATCGGGCCATGGTCCACCTCGCCGACATTCATGCCAGTGGAAACATTGATGTTACCTGCGTTGGCCTCACACGTTGGTACCAGGACTCGGGTCGTGTTGTCGTCGACAATGACCAAAACAACGAGTCTGTCACCCATTTTGACACTTCCACCGCGACCCAGGGGTCAGCCTCTAGTACTACAGAGCTCCCGGCTCCCGGTCAACCTCCTCGATCTAACCTCCACCATTTCCATGACAACCTGAAATCTGAATGCTCTAAACGTCAACGGCCATCTCGTAGCTCGGCGTCTCGACTTTCCTGGGTCCAAACATGTACTAGAATATTTACTGTTAGTGTAACGGTTAAGGGCTTTCACTGAAATTGTGCTAGGATGAATTTCGTGGGTTTAAACCTCACCTTCGATTACCTTTTTTCACACAGAAATAGCATTGCGTCCATCTCTCTATTCGAGAATGATGCGGCGACTTCAACTTCCTTCATGTTGTCGCTGCATGCCTCGACTTGAGCGTTGTAAAACGCTAGCCAATTATCGAGGCCGTTCTTCAAATGGTATATGTCCCGCCAGTACGATACATTTGGTTCGCCTAACGCCGAGATTGACAAGCTGCTCCTGACTTATTCAAAACTCATGGGATGCACACGCTTCTCTATTTACCCATAATGAGCCATAGTCACCAGCACCACCATGGCGGGCTGATAACTTCTTCGCCGAAGCAAATCCGTCCATTGTCTACAGCACATAGTATACAGCACTACGCCACAATGTAATATATTATACCGCTATAATTGGCCCTGCAGAAGTAGATCCGTCCCCGGTGCATGCAGGACAAACAGGCTTGGGGAACGGCTCATCCGCCTTGACAACAAACTCCCCACGCCGCAAGAGGTATGGCACGGCTGCAAATTGTCGTGACGCATCGATAAATTGGCGGTACGCAACATCCTTTATGTTAGTCGAGAAGTTGCCCAGGAAAACGTCGAAGATGATACGTTGCTTCGAAACGCGATAGTGTGCTCCATCAATTGAATTGAAAACGCATGGGCTATATTGTATGTTAAATTCAATTCGAATTAATTAATTACCTTACTTGGATTTTCCAATTGATTTGGCATGATATCCAATTCGACAAGTTGGTCGCCAACCGGGTGGGCGTGGCATCCCCGCAGCGATAGCTTTTCAATTCCGCCCATGGTGTACACACTGATAATTACTGGACGGCTGATACCAGT